GAGCACAGCCAGGCCGGCGTCCGACGTTGCGCCCGCAGCAGCAGCTTCCGCCGCCGCGACAGGGCCCTCCCCGGCGCCGCTCGCCGCGTCGGGCTCCGGGGAAGGCCGCCGGGTGCGCGCGCGTCGCCGCTCGACGACGTTCCAGCCACCCGGGCTGGCGGCATCCTCGCTCCAGGCGGCGGGGGGTGAGGCGGGCATGCTGGTCGTCCACAGCTCCGGCTCACTGGCCGGCATCGGCGCAACCTCGACATCGGCCGCGCTGTCGTCGGCTGCCGCGTCGTCGGCGGCAGCGTCGTCGGCGGCGTCGTCCGCATCCCCCGGAGGGGCAAGCGCCGCAGCCTCGGCGGCCGGCTCGTGCGTCGAGGCGGTGTCGGAGTCGGCACGCTCGACGCCGTCCGCCGACCCCTTGCCGTACGCCTTGCCGGTCGCCCCCTCGCTCCCCGCCTCCGACCCCTCCTCTGCGGAGGAGGCCTTGCCGCGCTGCGCCGCCGCAACCGCCTTGGCGTCGGCAGAGCGCCCCTTCTGCCGCTTGTGGCGGCGTCGCGCCGCCGGCTTGGTGGCCGCCGGCAGATCCACGCACGCCCCCTCCCCCTCCGCGCCCTCTTCCTCGGCGCGATCGTCGAGCAGCGGCATCTGCTGCTTGGCCTGCCACGCCCACGCAGCGCCGAGCGAGAGGCCCACAGCGCCGAGGGCGACGAGCGGCGCGACAAGCGCGGCGCGCTGGGCGCTCGCGAGAGAGGCCACCGACGGGTAGTTCCCGTTCGAGTGCAAGCGCTGCAGCGTCATGGCAACCTGCAACACAGCGGGGCGCGCTCAGAGGGAGCGAGGGAAAGCGGGGTGGGGCTGGGGTCGGGAGACGGAGAGCACGAGAGAGGCGGCGAGAAGCGGCGGCGGCGGCGGCCGCGCGCTCTCTGCAGGCGCGAGGGAGCTTCCGCCCTTCTTTGTGTAGGGTGCGTGGGGCCGCGGCGTCACCAGCGGCGGCCGCGAGGCTTTTGCGAGTCGCGGAAAAATCGCTGCCAGAAAAAACGCTTTGCCTCCCTTTCTTCTGACCGCCCCCCCCCCCCCCCCCCCGGTGGTTATGCATCCTAACCTATGCGTGGGGGGTCCGAGCGTCGAGAGTGGTAGAGAGAGCTCGAGTCGAGGCTTTTGCGAGTCGGAAAAATCGCTGCCGGAAAAAAGTATTCCGCGCGAGCGCGGAGGGCTTGTTGGCGATGGTGTTTTCCGAGGCGCTGCGCTAGGCTCAGACGGCGAGTTCGCGCTGCGCTAGGCTCACAGATGGAAGATTTTTAGCAATACCAAGGCGAGTGCGCCGCGATAGATTTGCGCTGTGCGATGAAAAGACCCCGTTATAGGAGCCGATAACCCAAGGGAGGAATCGGGGCGTTTTCTTCTTGCGTCCAACTCCGGCAGTTGGTCCACCAGCATGGCAGCCTCGAGCGACCTGCAGGCTCTGCAGCAAAAGATCGACTTCCAGCACAGGGAGATCAAAAAGCGCGACATGCACATTCGCGATCATCTCCGCAACGCCGGCCACGTCGCCGACCTCGAGCGCCTCGAACGGTCGCTCTGCCAGCTCTCGCTGCAGATGGAGCACATGCAACTCGTCATCAAGAACCCAGCTGGTCATTTCACACCTTTGCGATGCCAGAGACCACCGCCTCCTCGGCGCACACGATCTTCATCCGCCCGCCCAGCGGGGACCGGATCGAGGTCACCATTCCGCCGGGCAAGCAGCCCGGCGAGGTCTTCACCGTCATACTCGAGGACAAGGACGCGTACCCGCCGGACTGGCCGTGGCACGCGGCGCCACCCGCGGCGCCCGCGCACTCCGCGCCGCCGCCGTGGGCGGAGGAGCAGCAGGAGGAGGAGGAGGGCGAGGACGGGGAGGAGGGCGCAGGCGAGGAAGGCGCAGACGAGGCAGCCCTCCGGAAAAAAGCCAAGGCCGAGCGGCGCAAGGAGCAGCGGCACGCCGCGGCCGCGGCGGCAGGCCGCGTGCCCGGCCAGCATGGCAACCCAAACTGCCGCGCGCGGCCGGCAGAGCCGGAGGGAGGCGCGGCAGGAGGTCCCTCCTCCTCGCGCATGGCTGCGCCTGCGGAGTGAGTCGCTCCCGGACACCCGGAGGTGAAAGGTGTGCGCTGAGAGGTGTGCAGTGGTGCACCGGAGGTGAGGACGGGAGGGAGGGCTGCGAGCCACACAGGTTCTTGAAGCGCGCGATGAAAGGGGCGACGTCGGCGGGGTCGAGCGTGGTGGCGACGGCGTTAGCCTCGGCGGCGCTGACGTCCTTGACTTTGGCCTTGGCGCCACCGGCACTCTGCCGCACGGCCTGGGCGAGGAGAGAGGCGAGGCCCTCGACCTGAGGGTCGCGCTCACCGACTCCGGCTTGCCCTCGGGCGGCGGAGGCGGCCTGGTCAGCGCCAATGGCGGCAGCCGAAGCGCCAGGCGCAGGGAACCCGGGTTGAAAGGCGGCGTGCTGCTGCTGCTGCTGCATCACCTGCTGCTGCTGCTGCTGCATCTGCTGCTGCACCTGGTGCTGCTGCGTAAAGGGCGACCACGCTTCGCCGCCGCAGGGGTAGAGCCGCTGCGCGCCAGTGTGGAGGTAGGAGCCGCAAGAGGGCTGCACCTGCCCCAAACCGCAGCCGTGGAAGGCGGGCGCGCAGCAGCCATGCGGGCTCTGCACCCAAGCGGGGTCCATGAGAGCAGGCGCGGCAGGCCAGCCGAAACCGGAGGCCTGCGAAGGCATGGCCATCGACGCGCAGCTGGCCCACTGGTCGGCAAGGGACTGGCCGTGCATGCAGCCAGACGAGGGCGGCAGGTACATTTGCGGCTGCACTCCAGGGTGCTGCATCTGCACGAAAGGCAAAGGCTGTGCGCTTGCGCACTGCCTCTGGTGCGACGCCAGCTCTGCGGCGGCAAGCGTCTGCCCGCTGGGGCTGAGTGCACCTGCCTCGGCGACACCGATGGGCGGTGTCGCGGCGGGTGCCTCGGCCGGCGGCCTCTGGGCCGGGTTGGGCGGAGGGTGTTGGGCTCGGTTCTCCGGCGTCTGCGCTGCCGGACGGCAGGATGCGGACCGTAGGCCGCTACCATGCGCAAGCGGAGCGGTAGCGCCTGAGCTCCCGGGCGGCTGCGCCGGCCGCGCGGGCCGTGGGCGCAGCGTGGGGCCGGGAGCGGCCGGCTCCGTGCTCATGTATCCAGCGTCTCTAGACGATTACAAAGGATCGGACGTCACGCACATTTTGACAGGGACGTCGGAAATCGGACACATCCACTGGGACGAGTCAATTCATTCACTAGAATGACTAGAAAGGGCACTCCATGGGGGGTGATCGCATCTCTACAACACCCTCTCTTTTCCTCTCTATTTTCCGGGGAAAACTGCGTGGAAATCGTCAAATTTTTTGCTCTGAGCCGAGTCTGAGGCTGGTTTGGGCCCAAAATCAGCCAAATTTTAGGCCAAATCGACAAAATGCCGGGAATTTCGCGGAGAACCCGTGTATACCTGGAGAAATTACCCTGCGACCGCCTGGGTATTTTGTCGATTTCCTCAATTTTGCCTCAGATTTTGCCCCAGACCAGCTCTCAGACTCAGCTCTCAGACTCAGGGAAACTCGCGAGTTTCCAGAATGGAGCACCAAACACCCTCTGTTTTCCCTGGAAATTTCCGGAAACGCAAAGTGCTGGGGACCCTCTGTTTTCCTTTTTGTTTTCCGGAAAACTGGGTTGAGCCCAACCGACGTCGACAGAGCACTTAGAGTGCAGTCATTAACCTTATTCTACATGTTAGGAGTTACGAATTCTTTTTGTGCTGTACCTGTGTTAGTGTAGTGCGCGCTTTAGTCCCAGGTAGGTAGGTAGGTAGAAAGGTGAAGAACAGCCAGTCCCATCGGTGTGTCGAAAGAGGAGAAAAGAAATCTCCAGCGCTTGGGTGACAGGCACATACACACGCGGCGCCGCTCATGACGCGCCTGCGTGATCTGCTCCCCTACTTCTGCGGCGGGAGCCTGTGCCCTGGCTGCTGCGACGGCGGGCCGGCGTGCGACTGCTTGGAGGTCTCGCCGTCGCTCGTAGACAGCTTCGTGGACCTCGTCACGGGGCCGGAGGCCGCCACGCCGTCGGACCTGCCGCTGCTGAGACGCTCGCGGCGGCGGCGAGCGCCGTGGGACCTGGAGGGCTTGGGCTGGTCGTCGCCGCAGTCGGACGCCGATTGGAGAGGGTCGATGGGGTGCGAGGCGGACGGCTGCGTGCCGGGTGCCCGGTTCGTGCTCGGCGGAGCCAGCTTCCGCGTGGCCAAGCGGGTGGGCACGGGGGCCCACTCGGTCGTCTGGCAGTGCGAGCGCGTCGCCGACTGCAAGCCCGGCCGCGCGTCGCCAACTTCGCCGGTGCCGGCCGAGGGCGGCGGCGACTTGGCGCTCAAGGTTGGCTCGCTCGGCGACCCGTCGCGCGAGCTGGCGGCGCTGCACCTTCTCGGCCCGTCGGGCGGCCTCTTCCCGCAGCTGCACGGTGCTGTCGACTTTGCGTGCGGTGTGCGCTCCGCGCTCGCGCTGTCGCTGCATGGCGCCCTCGCCCTAGATGCATCCCCTCCGCCGCCGCGCCCTCCGCGGAGAGGGGGTGCACCCGCGGTAGAGCCGAGCGAGGGCCTTGTGAGAGCGCGCACAGTCGGCCGTATCTCGACTGCACACGCGCCGCACCCCCTGTGCTAGTCGAGAGAGCACACTCACACCCGGACTCTCACGCTGGCGACGCCGGTGCGACACTCCAGGCCCGTCGCTGCAGTGAGGTGCACAAGCTCCCCACAATCTCCCCACAATCTCCCCACAATCTCCCACAATCTGCGCGTTAGGTCCGTCGCTACACGAGGTGCAGCTGAAGCGAGGGCTGCGGCCCTGCAGGCTCGACTTTGTGGTCGCCGCCGCCGCGCAGGTGTGATCACGCCTCGCTCGGCCGAGAGCCGGCCCGCTGGTACTGCTGACTCTTCGTTTCTGTGACCGTCGACCCTCTCCCGAGATCGCACAGACCGCCACGCGTGTCTGCCCCGTGTGTCCCGCGAGTGCGTGCGGCCCGTCGTCCGCGCCAGGACGTGTGTCCCGCCGACTGACGGCCTGCTCCGCCGCGCAGCTGACCGACATGCTGCGCGCTCTCTCGCGTGTCCGCCTCATCCACGCCGACATCAAGCGAGATGTAGCCGAGATGTAGCCGAGAGGCAGCCGAGAGGCAGCCGAGAGATAGCCGAGATGTAGCCGAGATGTAGCCGACATCAAGCGAGATGTAGCCGAGATGTAGCCGAGAGACAGCCGAGAGACAGCCGAGAGACAGCCGAGAGGCAGCCGAGAGACAGCCGAGAGGCAGCCGAGAGACAGCCGAGAGGTAGCCGAGAGATAGCCGAGGTATAGCCGAGAGATGGCCGACATCAAGCCGCAGAGCCTGCTCGCCACGCCAGCACACGGCCCACACGTCCCCCTTGCCCTCCACATTGCCCTCCAGGCCGCAGAACCTGCTCGTGCGGCCGCCGAACGCGCCCGTCGACGCGGAGCTCGACAGCACCACCGGTCTCACCCTGGCGCCCACACCGCCCCCGCAACGACGCCTCGCCCCCCTTGGTTTTTTTTTTTCTTTCTTTTTTTCTCTTTTCTCTTTTCTTTTCTCCTTTTTCTTTTTTCTCTCTTTTTTTCTTTTTCTTTTCCTCTTCCCTTTCCTTTTCCTTTTTTCTTTTTTTTCTTTTCTTCCCTTCTTTTTTTCTTTTTGCTCTTTTTCTTTTTTCCTCTTTTTTTTTCTCTTTCTTTTCTTTCT